CTTCAGCAATCAACAGCTATTTTTTTTGGAGATTTTCCCAACATTCATAATGTGATTAAAAACTTTTATAACAATATTTATAGTATTCCATTAATGCTATTAACCACGTGTTTTTAAAGATTTTTAACCAAAATTTTTTCAACATTTTTAACATAATTAACAACTCTTATAATAATATTTACAACTGTATTAATGACATTAACCAATTGTTTTCTAGGTTTTGAAAATAAGATTTTTTTTAACATTTATAATGTAATTAACAATTCTTAAAACGATATTTACAACTCTTTTAATGTCATTAACTACTTTATGTGATAGTTTTCGAAACATGGAAAATTTAGGGGAATAAGAGCCATGTTAAACTCTTATATATTTAATATATATTTATTTTATTAAATTAAAATATGTATTAAAGTAATATTAGTAATTTAAAAATCTATCATATAAAGTAGTTAATGGTGTTAATAGAGTTGTAAATATTATTATAAGAGTTGTTAATCACATTATGAATATTAAAAAAAATCCTAGTTTAAAAAATTTGAAAACACATGATTAATAGTGTTGATGGAGTTTTGAATATTGTTATAGGATTTGTTAATTATATTATGAATGTTGAGAAAACTCCAAAAAAAAAAATTGCTCGTGACCAGTTGTCGGAGCTTTGTGACCGGTGACCCACCTGAACTCCAATATGGGTTGCCAATAGCAAGATGGTAAGAGTGACTTAAGATTTCTTTTTTGAAAAATAAAATTAAAGGGAAAAATTATAAATTCACCAATATTCCAAAATTTCAACTTAGTCATTATGGCCAGTTTGAAATTTTTTAAATTCTCATGCGAAAAAAAAGGATTTATTAAATTCAAGTGACTTTCAAGGATTTTGAAATTCAAGTATCATTGTTTAGAATTTTTCCAAAATTATTCCCAGTACTTCATAAATTTTTTTGAAGTATTGGGAATAACTATTTGTAAATAGTTTCTTAAAAACTTTCATATGAATTTATATAAAAAAAAACCTCTAACCATTTTTTTCAATTTTTTAAAAAATAGGCTTTTAATTCTTAAAAGTTAATTTTAAAATTATTTATGATATTTTTTGGAAACAAAACTCTTCATAAAATTTCTAAATCCCCAAAATTCTGGTTCATAATTTTTTCCTAATTTTATGGGATCATTACATTATTTTAAAAATTATACATCCACTTATGCTTTTGAGATCGTATCCGAAAATAAGCTTTAGGCTGATAATTACTTTTTAGGACATTTTCTTCTCAAATAAATACTACGCGCTTATAAAACCAAGGTACTAAAAACTGGACCAATCACTAAATTGGTCGAAGCAGTGGTGCAAATGCTAGTAGGTCAGACATGAGCTAGTTCAAAGTTAGCCAGATAATAATTAATATGTTGTAATTTAATTAAAATTTATAAAAACATTTATATTTTAATTATGGAAACATAATATTCAATCTTTAAATAAATATCTAAATTACAAAACATTTATATCTACATAATTTTTTTCTCCGTTATTTTTTTCTTTCTTGTACATAATTTTTTTCTCCGTTATTTTTTTTTCTTTCTTCTCCTACACATGTCCCATAATTTCCTCTTGCCTTTTTTTTTTATATAGTTATTTTTCTTTTTATTCTCCTTCTTTCACGTGATCACTTCCCTCTCTCTTCTCATGCATCCCGAGCCTCAACAGTCAGAATTGTCTTTTCATTTACCCTTCCTTCACACGCATCACCATTCAGAGCATCAAGGGCAGCTTTCTTCTATACTTTGTTCTCTCTTTATTCACCAGCGTCCATGGCTTCTCCACACAAATCTAGTGAGTTCTTAGGAAAGCATGAATGGCGATAGTCTAATGAGTTGCAAGCAAATCTTGCCACCACAGATCGAAAAGAACGACGGTGAGGAGATAGCCACAATAGCAACAGAGTTCAACCTTCAGAGCAGAATCTGGCGGCAATCTATCTTTTTTTTTTTTTTTGAAAGCATAGGAAGCTTTGGGGAAAAAAAAGCCAGCTAACCCACTCAGACCGGCAAGTTACCCAGGTTAATCCCAGTTTACTCCAAGTTATGCCGAGTCACGCCAGTTCATTGCTATCCTGATTTTGTTAACCAATTGGACCGGACAAGACAAGTGACCAGTTCACCGGTTTTTAGCCTGAACCAGCTGGTTCGGTCTGATTTGGTTTTTCATACCATGTCTAAAACATCTTAGGAACTTTTTTTCTCGGTTTTTCCGATTTTTCACGCAATATTTTCTATTATTTAAACATTTTCTCATAAAACTTCTCATAATTACATCTTTTAGCCCAAGTTAATCTCCTGCCCTTACTTAGCCCCATTATATCATATTTTCTCTTATTTTACTTATTTAACCAAAACGCACATATATAAAACACTGGATGTCACATAAACGAACCATTTCCTTTTCATTTGAGCTATCAGCCATGCCCTTGCTCTCTCATTTCACTCCGTGGAACCAGGAAAATAAGAGAGAAGAAAGCTTGAGTTCTGAGGGAAGAGAGAAGGAAAAGAAACGGAAAAAGATGTGGAAGAACAAAGCAAAAACCATATGCAACCGTACTTTGACGAGGCAAGGATATCTAGAACATGATCTAACTTTGGTTTTCTTCATTTGTTGTGCGTTTGGGGGTTAATGATGGTTGTACTTTGTGTGTTACTGAGAGAAAAGCCAAGTAGTGTAGACCTAAATGTATATGGATGATATATGGTGTTGCGTGTGGAGATATAGATGAAATGCTCACTGTTTCAAATGCAAATGAAGCATATAAGGCATCTAGAGGATGATATATGATGTATTGAAATAGTAGAATTGAATTTCATGAATTTTTCCTCGCTCCCCTGTTTAGTCCAGCTTCTGATTCTGTGCAATGGAGATTAATTATTTTGTTAAAGTTAAATATTTCAATGGATTTAGAAGAGAAATTCTGTAGGGATGTACACCTTATTTTTTCTTGAAAGGGTTTTTCAAGAGCTAAAGAGAGAGTTTTAAACCACTAATTTTGGAGTTAATTAATTATGAATTTTAACAGCTTTTCAGGTAATTCCATTCTATTTCGGAATTAATACCCAGGGGGTTTAAGTAAGAATTTTAAGTTTTTGAACTCTCTAAGGATAATTTTGGGTCACCAGTGGTTTTTAAATGGCTAATTACTGATAAGTTATCCGAAAATAAGGTGTGACTATTCATTCTTCATTCTCATAGCCTATGTGCCTATTCTTCATATGCCTTTTTTTTTTTGCTATACAGGTTATGCATTTTGCTTCCTTTTTTTTTGTTGGGTTTGTTATCTTAAGAATTCTTTAATGGGTGTTCTTCAAATTAGTTTTCTATGACCTTAGTTCATGTTTAATTTATTTTTGTTGCATAGTTTTAATAGTACGTAGTTCACAAGTAGGAAAGAATGTATATTGGTTGCTTGCTCCGGTGATGGTGTTGAAATTTTGAAACGCCTATCTTGTAAAGAGAAACTCTACCGAGTTTTTTCGCCCCAGATTGAGTAGTTTTTTATTCAATGGTCGAACAAATTTTAGAAGTATTATTTTCTAAACTGAGTTAAGGTTGAATAAATTACATATAGTTTTTGTTCCTTCAAGGTGAAAGGAGGTTATGTATTTGGATAAATTTATGATTAATTCATGAAAAAGGAAAACCTTACATTTGTTATATAATTTGCTATTTTTAATTGTTAAAAGGGGGGAATTACTCCTAGGTCCCAAGGAAAAAAATTTAATTATCCAAAAATTCATTAACAACTGCAGAGTTTGTAATGGCAAGTGTTAAAAATGGCAATAAATCAAAATTGCTCATGTGTCACTGAAACTTTTTTGTAATTAAATTTTTTCCCTGGGACCTTATAGTAATTCTTTCTTATTAAAATGTGTATGTTCACTTGTAAATTCACACGCATATATATATATATATATATATATATTAAGACTTGTAAATTCTTGAAAATGCAAATTAGGATTTGCGAATTCTCATATGAACATTAGTTATTTTGTTATTGTTAGCTGTGTTACATTTATAAATTCACTTATGAATTTAAGCTAACATTTATGAGCATGACTTGAATTCTGTCCTTAATTCATATATATTATCACACTTGTCCTCAGTGAAGTTGTCACCACGCATGGCAGAGTGAGCAAGGTGTATGCTTTTCCGCTACGCTTCCACAATAGATTCCAAAACAAAAGGATCCAGGCCTCCGGTCTTTAGTACAAGAGCCAGATAACTAGTTTAAAAAAAAAATAGTTAAGTTAGTTAATTGTGATAAATGTGTTTTGATTTTCCTAAATTGCCATCTTTAATTATAACCATTGGAACTATCCATTGGGGGGCACTTTACAATCAATAGGGATATTTTAGAGAAATCATTATAAATTTAAAAGACAAAGTAGATTAAGACCTTATATTTAGTACTAAATCCAATATCTAGGTAGCTCTTATATTTAGGACTAGAGGTAATGTGTGTATAAAGTTCGGACTTCTGTACCATCCTTTGCGCGTCATTGTGGGTTTCTTTTTCTCAGATGTGGTCCTCGCCCATTTTTTAAAATTTTTTCCTCAATTATTCCAGCAGATTCCCCATTTGATAGTCTGCCGCCAATGGGCATGCGGCTTCTTTTTAATTCGCTGGGGTCCACGTTCGTCATTTTACGTACCAATGATTACTTATTAATAATCTTCTTCTTGAAAACAAATCTGAAGCAGTTTCGTCTCTTTAGCCAAATGTCAACAGGTTCTTAGCATATCCATGATGATATCAGGGTCTTATGGTTTTTAAGCTTTGCACGCTATTGGTATTGTTAATGTAGGTTATATATATGTGTGTGTATTAAATTATCTAGTGAGCTGAATATAATATTTCATTCCGTACGTGGCTGGCTAGTATTTATATGTATAATTACATCAGATTTTCATGCCAGAGCAAAGTCCTGAGTTTCATCAATCCACAAAAGATGAAGGTTGAGTTGGTGTCCAAACAAATCATTAAGCCATCTTCTCCAACACCCCAAAACCTTAGAACTTTTAAGTTGTCTCTCATGGACCAGATTGCCCTTTCATCTCACACTCGATTGCTGTTTTTATATCACAATATTGGAAACGAAGTCACCATTCACGATAAGTTTGAGAGGCTAAAGACGTCATTGTCTCAGACTCTAACCCACTTCTATCCATTTGCAGGTAGATTCAAAGACAACAAAGTCATTGAATGTAACGATGAAGGTGTCGAGTTTCGGGAGACTCGTGTCCATGGCTTTCTCTCCGACATCCTTAAACAACCTGATACTGACCTTTTACATCAGTTTGTGCCTGCCTATGATGCCCATTTACTAAGTGAGTTTTTAATGAAAGTTCAAGCGAACATATTTCATTGTGGGGGTTTAGCGATTTGTGTGTCCTTATCTCACAAGATCGCTGATGCTTCAACGATGGGTTCTTTCATCAAGGCATGGTCTTGTACAGCTGTTGGGTGCATGACCGAGTCGATGCTTCCAAAGTATATTTTGGGTTCTCTTTTTCCTTCCATCGATTCCCCAATTGTTCTTCCAACTTTTGAGTTAAGAAGGCACTTAAATTTCATTACAAGAAGGTAAACTTCACACAACTTTCTGATAGAATTTACTCAGTAAAATTCCATCCAAAGGTATTTGTGTAGTAAAGTTTATCTTATTTCCTTCATCAAAACATACGTACATATATATATATATATATATATATATAGATTTCATTGACCTGGCTCCCACATTCTCCTTAAATTAAATAAAATTTAATTGAGTGCATGCAGGTACATCTTTGATTCTCCAAAGATAACAAAACTGAAGTCCAAAGCTGCAAGCAAAACTGTGGAAAATCCAACACGGGTAGAGGCAGTATTTGCACTAATTTGGAAATGTGCCACGACAGCATCGAGAACAAACCTGGGAACAACCAAAAGACCCTCCATGGCATACCAAATGGTAAACATTCGTCAAAGGACAAACCCACCGTTACCCAATACATGCATAGGCAACTTTGTAGGTCAGTTTATAGCAAAACCAGAAGAGTCTTCTAGTGACAGTGAAATGAACCTGCAAGGGTTAGTAATTCACCTAAGGAAAGGTCTAGAACAGTTCTCAAAGGAACATGTCCAAAAACTTCAAGGAGGAAATGCTTTCGTGACGGTGTTTGAGGGATTAAAGAACATAATGGAACTATTGTCCAAAGAGGACGTAGATTTCTATGGTTTTACAAGTTGGTGCCGTGTTGAGTTTTATGAAGCAGATTTTGGGTGGGGGAAGCCCAAGTGGGTGAGTGTTCCTTCTCCGAGGGTAAAGAATTCTATTATTCTGATGGATACGAGTGATGGAAAAGGAATAGAAGCATTGGTGACTTTGAGCGAACAAGATATGACCTTGATGGAGAATAATCATGAATTGCTTGAATTTGCGTCTTTGAATCCAACTATCACATAAAATAAGATTCAAACTCAAAAGTATGGACTTATAGTTTGTACTTTGCTCTTGTTATGTTGTTTTATGTTCAATGTATCATCGGTTCGATTTTTATGATATGTTGCGTCGGAGTGTAAAATTCCTTACCTTTTGCAAATTGTATATTCGGTTGGTGTTGAGAGATAAAAAATATTTCTCTGATCCTTAATATAAGATATAATTATTAAATTAATCTTGATCCTAAATCTAAGATCTATTTTCATATTTTTTTTTTTTAAATTATCCCCTTGATACTCTCTCAACCATAATCAAAAGAGGGTGGAAGGATATTAAGAAACATAATTATAATGTTTTAGAAAAAAAAATATCATATTTCTTATAATTAACTAACTTATCTAACTTTCTTAATTTAATCAAAATAGATAAATAGATCTTATATTAAAGACTGATGGAGTACCACATTAATTAAAAAAAATCATGTTTATTTTATTCTTTCGTATTCAATTAAATAGGATGGCAGGAATATTCTACATAACGTAGCTGACATATTATAGTGGCTTGTTGTAAATATGTAAATTATTAGAGTAAAATACATTAACCATCTTATTACTTAACTGAATTACAGAAATTTCTCCTCTATTTTAAAAATATATATAAGACTTTATTGACATTAAATAGTATGTTACAAAAATAATGTATATAAGACTTCTTTGAAGTTAAATAGTATTTTATAAAAATATCTCTTATATATTTGAGATTCCATTTCCATACCCAAACCATTAGTTCAGTGTTAAATTTGACTCCTAAACTTTTACTTTGATCAAAATATCTCTCATTAATATAAGAATTAGTTAAACGTTTATATGAGCCTAAAATATGATTTTATACAACATAAAAATAATTCTAACACACAAACTTTTTTTTTAAACCAAAATACACATATATTTTCAAACTTTGAAATATGTTATGAAATTTATTAATTTTGATTATATTATAAAGTTTTATAGTATAAACGATGTAAGTTTGAGAATCTACATAAATCACATAAATTTAAAATTGAAAATTTTTAAACACATTTTTTCTACAAACACTTATAAATACATTTAGTCAAGTATATGTTAACAAAATTAAAAATTGTCAATTAAATTTTTCATTTCTGTGTTAACTAAATTACTTGAACTTCTGTCTATGATGAAAAAAGATAAACAAATAACTACTTGTAAAAAAATAAAATTAAAGAAAAGAAAAAGAAAAAGAAAAATCTTAAATTCTTTAAAATAATTTTGGTGAAAATTATAGATTTAGTATGGAAAAATTGAGCTAGGAAGCAAGCTGCGTAATATTTTTCCTTGAAATGGTTTTTCAAGAGCTAAAGATAGAGCTTTGAACCACTAATTTTAGAGTTATATTGAATTGGTTATGAATTTTTAAAATTTTTTAGAAAAATGTCATTCCATTCTATGAAATAACATCCAAGGGTAAGTTTGGGTCACTAGTGCTTTTAAATGGGTGACTAACTCTGGTAAGTCATCCTAGACCAAGGTATAATAGTATTAATTCTTCTTTCTCGTGGCCTATATGTATCTTCTTCTTCATATATATGCTTTTTTCTGTAAAAGATTATGCATTTTGATTTGTTTTGTTATCTTAAGAATTCTTCAATGGGTATTCTTCAAATTAGTTCTCTATTACTTTAGCTTGTGATTAATTTGTTTTTATTGGATAGTTTAATATAGGATTGGTATGTAGTTCACAAGTAGAAAGAATTGAATATTTTCTGTTCTAGGTGGTTAGCTTTTTTCCCCAACCGATGGTGTTGAAATTCTGGGAGGGCTATCTTTTTAAAAGGAAATTCTGAGACCTTTTTTTTTTCTTTTTAAAGTGCTCGTTTTTTATTCTATGGTAGAACAAATTTCAGAAGTAATATTTTCCGAATTAAGTTGAGGATGAATAAATTAAATATAGTTTTACTTACCTCATCTAGGGTGAAAACTAGCATTAGATTGCGTAGTTAAAGAAATCTGTGGTTAATTATTAGACAAAACTTAAAGTAAAATTACTTATATTTGTTATATCAAGTTCTCCAATTATAATTATTATTTTGCTATGTTTATTATTAAAATGCGTATGTATGCTTGTAAATTCATCTATTAACACTTGTAAATTTTTATAGTGTAAACAAGAATTTGTAAATTTTCATATGAACAATTGTTATTTTGTTATTGTTAGATGTTAAAGTGCGCACATCGAAATATCAATACTTCTTGTTTTGCTATACTTGTTGTTTAAATACTACCTCCAATCCTTATTACAAGAGCTAATTAACTAATTTGAGTAGATTAAAAAAAATTAGTTAAGTTAATTATTTCTAATAAATAGGTTTTGTCTTCCCTAAGATACCCTTGCTAATCATGTTAACTAGTTATTACTACCATTTGATAAAACTTTTAACATGTGCAACTTTTATAAGGACTACTTTAAAAAAATTAGATAAATATGAAAGACAAAGTAAATTGAAGTCTTGTATTTAGAATCAAATTGAAAGCTAAAGTAACTCTAAGTATAATGAGAAGTAATATATATTACACTTATAAACTCATCCATAAACTTGAACCAATATACTCTTTCGGTCTTTAATATAAAACCCATTTAACTAATTTAATTAGATTAAGGAAGTTAGATAAGTTAGTTAATTATAAAAAATGTGACATGTTTGTCCTAAAATACTATAATCATCTTTCCTAATACCACATCTTTCTCTTCCACTTAATTGTGGTTGAGGGAGTATCCATAGGGTGATTTAGAGAAAATTGATAAATATGAGAAATAGGTCTTATATTTAAGACCAAAACCAACTCAACAATTGGGTCATATATTAAGAACCAGAGGAGTATATATATATATGTATATATTTTTATAAATTAGGACTTATGTACCATCCGTAGCACATCATTTGTGGGCTTCTTTTGCTCAATCATCAATATTCCAGCAGATTCCTCAACTATGGTCCCCGCGCCCTTTTATATGCATTTTTCCTCTACTGTTCCAGCAAATTCCCCACTTGATAGTCGGCCGCCAATATATGCATACATCTATATATATATATATATATATTATATTTACATCTATCTATATATATATATATATATATATTATATTCCACGCCAGCTGCCTTCTGTTTTTTTTCCTCAAATAATTCTCCGGGTCCACTACGCCATTTTACGTATGAATGATCAGTTATTAATAATCTTCTGCTGGAAAACAAATCCGAAGCACAGTTTCGTCTTTTTAGCCGAATGTCAACAGGTTCCGAGTATATCCCTGATGATATCAGGGTCTTATCTAATGGTTTTTAAGATTTGCACGGCATTGTTATTGTTAACGTTTCATATATTAACTTTTCTAGTAAGTTGAACTATAGTTAATATTTCATCCGTACTATTTTGCTGGTATGTGTGTGTGTGTATAATTACATCAGTTTTTTCATGCCGAGGCTGAGTACTGAGATTTCGAGCCTTGGAAAAATTCAAACAAGTTTTGAAACATCTTTCCTTTAAACCCTCAGAGTACGCATTTGGAAGCATTACGGTTTAAGCAATTCACAGAACAAGCCTGTAGATTAAAAATTTGCGGCAAAATTGAAGCTTTTCCCAAACTTTCAATCCAAGTCACAACTTGGCACCTCCAGGTTGCGACTTGAGTCCACAGAATGTCCGGGTTGTGACTTGGTACTTTCTGATCATGACTTGAAGTCACAGAGGTCATTTTTGCTTCTAGGTCACAACCTCAACCTCTCAGGTCGCGACCTGTGGTCACAGAGAGCTTTCGAGTACTATTCACTGAGCATTTTTCAGATTACAGGTCCAACTTTGGGAGGACATAACTCTTAGCACACACATCCATTTTAAGTGATCTACCACTTGTTTTAAAGCTCAGGATGTGTACTTTAACTATACCAAATTTCATGGCTTAAATCATACATGTGACATGTCAAAATGGAGCTGGAAATTGACTGCTCCAAGACCTACGTTTTATCTATTGAACAATTCTTGCTTTAATTCTTTTTATTGTTTTGGCATGCATAGCTTGGCCCTATCCTCTCCCATTGATTTTTATACATTTTCATTCATGCCATAAATATTCTAAATAAATACATTGCATCATTGGCATTTATATACATAATTTACATAATAGGAGAATTATACATAAATCCTTAACCAATCATTAACATCAATTATTCTCCACTTTCTTCTTCTTCCTTCTCATGCTCTCCTTCATGCAATCATTGTGCATCATTGATTGACCTAAATAATTGGTTAGGGAGGGGTGAGATTTGTGAGAATCTCAGTAGCAAACAATAACCACCCAAACATATATGACAAGTTTGGCATTTATAACATGCTTACAACTTAACATCTTTATAACATAATGACATGTTTGGAAATCATCATGCATTTATCATAAAACACATAGGCCTATGGCATATTTAAAACACATTTACAATCATAACACATGAGTTCATAAAATCATATAACATAGAAACATGTCATACATGCAAGCAAATATCAAGCACATAAGAGTAAGGTCAAGTTTGCTGCCTTGTGTCTTTAAACTTTCTTTTTACTTCCTCTTGCTCCCTTTGCTACCAACTATTAAGGTTTCCTACTCAACCGCCATTCATCTTTCTCAATGTCTCATGACTCTAAATGCATCAACACATCATTTCCGTTCATTCATTAGAGCCATGGTAACCAACAACATCAACACTTTGTTTTCTTTGAGCTATATTGACTTCTAACTTTTGAGCTTGATTTTTAACCTTTCTAAAATTAATTACACATACTATTCCCACACAATTTTGCATGTAGAATCCATTTCCAAGCTCAAAATAATTAAAATCAAACTCTTTCCCCATGAACTAGCCTTGATCGAAATATAACTCAAGTTACATAGTCATGAAATTCAACCAATTTCAACATAAAGCCACTTGATTCTTGTTCCTTTCAAGCCTTTAAACATTATTCTAACATCAATTTCATATTCCCCTATTCTTAAGAATTTCATGCAGCATGTCCCCTTAGAATTTCAAGCACCCAAAAATCATTAAAATCCATAACCAAGCTCAACAACAACAAGGGTAGTGAAAACTACATCAAAAACCCTGAACAATCTTG